TTTGGTGGGGGGTGCAGCAGCAGCAGCAACAAGAGCAGCAGCAGCTAGGGGTATAAAGCTGCTGCTGCTAGTGCTGCAGCAGCAGCAGCAACAATAATAAAAGGAAAAAGAAAAGATAAGAAACGAAGGAAAATTAAACTTTAAAAAAAGACATCATATGCGCAACAATGGGGGTTGTCTGTCAACCAGCCCTAAACCCTAAACCCTAAACCCTAATAAACCCTAAACCCTAGTAGTAGACCCTCCTAGACGTTGTATTCTTCATGAAGGAAGAGCATTAATTATTGTTAAATATCTAAACCCTAAACCCTCAATTATTTTTATGATGGGGTTCGTTAGATTCTTTGTGTGCAACACTCTGTCTAAGGGTTTAGGGTTTAGGGTTTAGGGTTTAGGGTTTAGGGTTTAGGGTTTAGACCGCTCTCGTGTATCACCGCAGCAGCGATTGGGGCTTTGGTGGAAGACTGTGTCTTAAAAGGGTATAAAAAAAGGAAGAAAAATTAAATAAATTAAATTAATTTAATTTATTTTTTATTTCTTTATTTAATTTCTTTTTTAATTCTTTTTTTTTCGCTGCTTATTCCTTGATCAGCTACTGCTGCATCTGCGGTGTATAGGCAGCTCACCGTCGTCGGCGGTGGTGGTTCGCTTGTTCTTTTTCTTCTTTTTCTTTTTGTAGATTAAATCATTTATTTATCATTCTTTTTCTTTATTAATTAAATAAAATAAAAAAGAATATAGTTATAATTAATTAGATGTCTTTTTCTTTCTTTTGTGTCTTCTTTTTATGCCTTTTATAGATCATATTTATACGGCTTACTACTATTCTTATTGCCTTTTTTTTTTCTTCTTTTTTCTTCTTTTTCTATTTTTTATTCATTAAAGTCTTTCTTCTTTTATTTTTAATTTATTAAAGACTTATTTCTTTATAATTACCCCCTAGTATACCAAGAAAAGGGTTATTTCTTGTTCTTTTCTCTTATATATATAAGAAGAAATACAACAATATAAGAAAAAAGAGGAGAGGCCTCTCCCTCCCTCCTTATATATATATATATATATATATATATATATATTCTTCTTTTTTTCTTCTTTATATATAAATAATAAATAAAAGGAATAAATAAGATGGGTAATTACATATCTTGTTTATTATTTATATATTCTTTCTGTTTATCTATTTTTTATGTTTTTTCTTTTTCTCCTTCTTATGCTCCTGCCTCTGTCTTATCTGTACGTACACCTGATGATATATTAATGGATTCAATTAGCAGCAGCAGCAGCAGCAGCAGCAGCATCGGCAGCAGGGACAACGGGAACAACAGCAGCATAATATCTCCACCAATAATTCGTGTATGGGAGAAGATAGCAGTACCTGAGTGTCGTCTTGCTGCTAGCAGCAGCAGCAGCAGCAGCAGGAGCAGCAGCAGCAAGACATTTGGTCCTTTTCCTGCTGTATTAACAATAAATAAAAATAAAGAAGTTGTTGCTTATGAGCCTATACACCTGAATCATTTATGTAGTCTTAGCAGCAAGCAGCAAGATTGGATGTATGTAGTCTGTCAGCAGCAGCAGGAGCAGCAGCAGGAGCAGCAGCAGCAGCAGGAGCAGCAGGAGCAGCAGCAAGAAGGAACCCCGACGTCTTATTACACCGGATCAACGATAGAATCATCGCCATCACCAGGAACAGGCAGCAGCAGCAGCAGCAGGAGCAGCAGCAGGAGCAGCAGCAGGAGGAGGACTAGGAGCATAAGAATAATAGATCGTGGTTCTCCTGATTTACAATATAATATATATTTAGATGAAACCCTAATTGAGGGTTTATTACCTAGTGTATTAGGGTTTACGATTAAACAATTAATAAAGAATAAAAGATTAAATAAACAAAACCCTCTTCTTCCTTTATTCAAATTTATTGCTGCTGCTAAGGATAATCAACAATTAATTACTCTTACCTGCACCAGCAGCACCAGCAGCAGCAGCAGCAGCAGCAGCAGCAGCAGTAGTAGTAGGGTATATACACAAATAAATCCTACTATGTCTTTCTCTACTTTCTTGGGTTCTCTTCTTCTTGCTGTCTATGAACTTCCTGCTGCTGCTGCTAATAAAATACCTATTTTCTCTGAGGAATAACAGCAGCAGCAGCAGCAACAGCAGCAGCAGCAGCAGCAACAGCAACAGCAGCAGCAGTAGCAGCAGTAGTAGTAGTAGTAGAAATCGCAGCGACAGACAGTAGTGGTAGTAACAACACGAATATGCAGCAGCAGCAGCAGCAGTCTGCAGCAGCAGTCTGCAGCAGCACAGTGTACCAGCAGCAGCAGCAGCAGCAAAGGAGCGTCTCCACGTAGCAGCAAATGCAGCACAAATAAATATTATTTATTTTTTTTTTAATTGAAATAAATAACCGGATGTTTCTAGGGTTTAGGGTTTAGGGTTTAGGGTTTAGCTGAGGGTTTAGGGTTTGCAGGCAAATCAAACCCTAAACCCTCAAAAAGAAAACCCACATAACCCAATTCTTTTATCGTCCTTTAACTGCTGCTGCAGCAGCAGCAGCAGCAGCAGCAGCAAAAGAACAAGGACAAGCAGCAGCAGCAGCAGCAGCAACTGCTGCTGCTGCTGCTGCAGCCTATTATAACCTATTTGTTTTTGTTAGTGAATAAAGAATTTATTCATTAAATAATTATTTCTTAACATCTGTTGCTGCTGCTGCTGTTGCTGCTGCTGCTGCTGTATTTGTTGTTGTTGCTGCTGCTGCTGTTGCTGGTGTATTTGTTGTTGGTGTTGCTGCTGCTGCATTTATATGTTCTCCTCTTAATAAAGGAATTAGCTGCTGCTGCTGCTGCAGTTGCTGCATAATATCTGCACCCCCTATAGGGTGTCCATACACCACAAGAAGAGGCAAAGTTGGCCAATTAAATAATTCACGAACTACACGACGTAGCTGCTGACGCTTCTGCTGCAGTTGCTGCAGTTGCTGCTGCAGTTGCTGCTGCTGTAGCTGCAGTTGCTGCTGCTGTTTTTGTTGTTGTTCTTCTTGCTGTTGTTTTGTTAATTGTTTCCTTTCTTTGTCTTCCTTCCCTTCTTTCTTCCCCTGCTGCTCCTTCTGCTCTTTCTGCTCCTTCTGCTCCTTCTGCTGCTGCTGCTGCTGCTGCTGCTGCTGCTGCTGCTGCTGCTGCTGCAGCACGATCTGCTGCGGTATACTACAATCAACAAAAGTATAATCTTTTTCTCCTGCCTCCTCTAACACTTTTACTGCTTTTGCGCTAAACCCGCAAAAAGGGTTTAGGGGTTTACCCTTCATGAATAATACTACTCTTGTTGATCCAACTAAACCCTCCAATTTCTTACGCACCTCCTGCAGCAGCAGCAACACCAGCAGCAGCAGCAGCAGCAGCAGCAGCAACAGCAGCAGCAAAAGCAGGAATAGATATATATATATA